TTCAGTGGGAAAAGGGCATCACCAATCTGCAATGCACGTACGATTTGCAATGCCCTCAAAATTTCAGTATTTGAGAGTATTGTGGGCCATGAACTGGAGGGTTTGTAAAAAATATGGGTGGAAACCGTGCACAGGACTGTGAGCTTGTACTTCTGTGTAATTTGGATGAAATTGGGGCCCTTAAAGCGCTCTATTTTGCAATGGAGTGTAGGCATCGTTTTTCAAAATGGCGATGGGCTTCAGGACTATTTTAAGGGATGATCATCTTCGGATGGAAATTTCTCCTTAAAGTCATCAGTTAACCCCCCCCCCCCGCAATGCAAACACGGGTTTTGTAGATAACACGGGTGCTTTGTAGATAAGGACCAGATCCCTACAATTATTCAACTTAGCCTGGCCCCCTGTGCTGTCACCAAGACAAGATCCTATTGTTAACCCATGGGATGGGTACTCATCTTCCGTTCCATTCATCACATGCACAGTACATTTGTCCTTGTGGAAAGTCGCACGCACATTCCCAATCACCGTGCGAACACACTGTCTTCCCCTTACTCCCAATACACTAGAGTTTATACTCGTATATTAAAGCTACGAGATAAGGCCTATACTGGATTCGGAAAACTGAATATATTCTGAGAAGTATTGATTGGGTAAGTTTCGTTTGATTTCTTTAGCTATTCGTGCATTCTCTTTCGGATTATCCTTTGTTAATGGTCTTTAAGAGGAAATAATGATAAACGAAGCCCGCCGCGATTCAGCACCGCGATCCGGCCCGAAATTTGGTGGGTGGGTACCTCGAAACACACGGTTTCCACTGGTGCGGAAAGGAGCCCACGAAAAGCAATTGTTAAAGTTTTTATTAAAAGGCATTGCTCGGCTAGTGACACTGGACAGGGGATTTTAATGTTCTAGCAATTACTAGCTATCATTTTGTCGATAATTGCATGGAAATGGAAAGGAAACAACGATCCGAAAGACATTTTCTTGAAACTGTCGAATTTGTATCACAAAAAATATTGGGAATAAAATAACAATAAACTCACTTAATTTCATCCGGTGGCATATATTTCACTTTTTATCTAGCAAAATGAACAGGATGTTTTGAGATGAAAATTGGTGTGTCTTTCCTCTCCGCGGCGCCGCCATTTCGTCAGTCACTGGCATAAGCCAAGATTTTGGCGCATGCGCACAAACTTAGTGAGAGGGATGAACATATATACGTGCCGTATCGTTACAAAGTTTATGTTCGTGTCTAAAACAGCTTATTTTCCCCCAGTTTGGAATGAATACCATACTTGTACGTCAGTTATCTGCCAGTTAAAACTTCAATGTTCACCTCACCTTGTGATTGCACCTCAGACGAATCCAGAAAGGGAAGGAAATGTGAAGATATTTTCGGAAGAATGTGTTTTTAGGGCACACTTTGCAGGCCCACCCCAGCTCTGCAGCAGACAGTCTTGGCCACAATTTGTGGCATTGGTTATTAGTGCGCGGTGCGCATGACGCAACAACACCCGTACCCAATGAAAGTGCAATACGTCATCATGAATAATGCATTTTCATGAATATTTAGTCTATTATAACCTTATACTTTAAATGCATTTTATAGTCCCTTACTGGCAACGATAGTTCGACTGGTGTAGCGGGTAAGGCTGGTGTTATTAAATAAGAAGATTGCGGGCTCGAAATCTGGCGGGTAAAGCATGGAGGTAGGAGGTAGAGAAAATAGAAGAAAGAACCATAGAAAGTAACTTTTTGGCACTTGAACAAAAGTGACGTAGTGGTATGGTAGTTTTCCCCCATTTTTTTCCAGATCTTTTTGGACTGACACATATTTCTCAGCAGCATTCTTGCTTCATAAAATCAAAAATGCAAAGACTGGCCGTCATTGAGAATTATGACGGTATTTAGCTGCCTGCAGTGTTTCTTTCAATGAAACTCAGGCTAACAAGTAAACGACGTGCAATATTGCTTTAAAAAAGTGCAAAATTGGTGAACTGCGAGATCACGTGGTACGAGATCAACGACCTGGCCTTCGTGTTCAGCTACATCATCATCCGTGGCGTCATCGCGCAGTATCTCTCGTACTGCGTGGTCACGCACCCGCAACCCGCGGATCCGATCAAGTTCTTCGCGGTCGCCATGGGTGTGATGAACGCCATCTTGCTGGTCGGGATCCTGGAGTACGCCCTGAGGAGGTTCACAGCCATGTTGTGGCAATGGGTGCGAGGAGATCGTAGAAGTGAAGCGAAGAAGAGAGAAAACAACGGCAACCAGCCTAATGATAGCAAAGACACCTTCGAAGAAATCACTCTGCATAAGACATTTGGCGTCACATTCAAGTACATCCTGCAAAACTTGCTGAACAAAAAACACACAATTTAGAGTGATATTTTTCATTTATCCATAAGATGGAATTTGGCATCTGGGTGATTGGTCTATTGCCCTTCACCGACGTATAAACAAGCTGAGTGTACAGCGTTTATACGTCGGAGAAGGGCACAACCTAATACTTGGATATTTCCATAATCTGTTTAATATCGCTTTTCAAAACAAGTCAACATTTGTTGATATGTGTATTGACATAAACTGGTAATTCTTATAATTTCAGTACAAACATACAATCATAAACGATTGATTTGCAGCAACTTTTTTTTTTCAATTAACAGACTTCCCTTTTATTTTGGGTTTTAACCTCCATCGAAATACTAACCACAAAAACCTCAGCATTCCCTTGACGTGCACTAAACGGGTCTTGAAATGGTAACGGCTCAAGGTTCAACATTGAAACAAACGTTTATCCCAAAAGTAACCTACCAACTTATAATAATTTTTTTTTAAATTGGATTTCACGATTGTGCTGGTACTAAACACCCCGTGCATTTATTCCGTCTGGCTTGCTGTCATTTAGAAAAAATCAAGAAATGTTAGTGATTTTCAACGATCAGTCAACTGACGGGTTTTTGAAAAATGAAGAGTTCGATGGACGAAATCGTGTTTCGCGATCAAAAGGTTGTGCATGGTATTCCCATTTTTCGCGAAAAAGTGTAATATTCACTGAGCTGAAACTTCAACATTCTGCTTTGGATTTTGAGTGGTAGAAATTAGAAACGAACAAAATGCACGAAAAGCAAATGATCCTACGCCTTTAAGGCCGTGACATAACTCTTGTCCAGAGCTATTGTATATAGGTCTTGGACAATTCGGGCGATTCACAACGCAGAACGCCACCAAGAGTTTGCCACGCTATGGCCCAATCTGTAACAAATAAGCTCAAGTTATCTACTGACACTCATTTAAGTGGGCAATGTTTTGTTTTGTCGACCGTAAATTTGAAAACTGGACTCTCCATGGCAAACTCTTGGTTGCGCACTGCATGGGTAGGTGCTCGGTAACAATGGACGTAGCCTCGTAGCTCCTGAAGCCCGTTTTGAGACATGGCCTTACTCTTTTGGCAATAGCAGTGTGGTGTGAAGTGTTTGCCACTATGACATTCGGACCCTTTTATCTTATGCGGACTCGGCCTCCGACGCGTCGTTGAGTTCTCATTGTTATTAGTTGGATTAGCCATACTCGATATGGTGGAGAGTCTGTATCATTCTGAGGGGTACACTGAACACCTGTCTGCTAACGAGTCCCGCTAACGAGTTGCTTGTTTATTAGGAGGTGCATTTGGTTTAACTAAATTTACATTGTTTATAAATCACATCAAATCAATTTTCAAAGCCACATATATGTTTTCCTTTATTTTGCACCTATAAACGTGCCGAAATTCATCATTTTTAGCAATCTTTTACGTTGCTTAGTGTGTATTAGGATTAAATAACATATAGTTAGTCAATATATTGTATTTTGTTTGAACGTTTGATAGTGAAAACATTTTGTGGAATCACAATTCAATTTTTTTATTTTCTTTAATACACTGATTCGAGTATAATTTTTTTAAATCCAGTTTGTTGAAAGTCCCTTACACCATAAATTTTAATTGCGGAATAACAACATCACAGTAAATCATTTCAATTTTATTGCGTTTTTGTTTCTTAGTTTTATCAGACGATTATCTATATTTTGATGAAATCCGTAAGGGCAATTACTTCTGGTATACTAGGAGGGAGTTCAACGTCACTCGTCTAAGGACGGACGTGGAATTCTTTCACTGGTGATGAGAACGATCCCAAAATAGATCCTCGGCCAGCCTGTCGGGAGGTCAGGGTCGCCAAATTGTTACCACGAAGTCAGGGGCATAAATCTTGGGGGAAGGGGGTATATATCCCCCCCCCCCCCACTTTTTGACCGGTGGGATGGGCTATTGAATCATCCCCTCCCCCGAACTTATGTGACGCACACAACGTGTATCGTACATCGGCAACACAATGGACGATCGCATATTAGCATATTCATAAGCGTCACTCGGCGTGACTTGGCGTGGGTCTCGGTATCGACCAATGGAAGCCGGCAAAAAGGGTGATATTTATTAATTAATAACTCGTGAACGAGGCTTTTATGCAAATTGTTACTGAGTACCATAATGGATAGGAACCTTTTTAATATTCGTGAGGCTTGACAAGATTGAACGACATTGCAAACACCTGTGTTGCAACTGTTAAAAATGCACGTAGACAGACCTATTTTTTTTCCAATTCCAACGAAAAGTAATCAACATATTACATACTTGGATCATTAAAAGGGAAATAAACCCTGAAAGTTGCAAGAAGATGCAGTCTTCCCAGCGGGAGAAAATATTGTCAAAGATTTTGCCCGCATGCGTGCACACGTCTGTGTGCAGGTAGTTTCATTCAAATAAAGTGTGAAATCGCCCTTCGAACCAGACGGCTGCTTAGGCATAAGTATATTGCTTCCCTGGTTCTTTTTGTTCATGTACTAGCGGTAAGGGTGTGGCTTGACGCCAAGACAGAACTGGGCGGGCTGAATGTATACTTGTAGTATAATTTGTTTTTGTAATGAGGGATTAGTAGCTATACAGTGCGGCAGATCAAGTGCTTTGTGACTTCAATAAATCAAAGAATTGTTGAGTTGGAAACCTGTTTACATTTCGCCTTCCTTGTTGACGTTTTGCTTAAAAGAGACCGACAAGAATCCACCATTCGTTTCATTTGCTTCCATTTTTAAGGCAAAACCGAGTAACTTATTGTTCATGGCCATACGAAGCTGTCCATCAGACAAGCTGCGAAATTGTTGGAACTTTACAGTTTTTACTTTTGAATCGAATTATATCTGTATAAAAATATCATATCTGCGTATATCTGACTGTATGAGTCAATGTTAAAATATAATGACTCAATTAAATGTATATACAAATTTAGCAAAATACATATATGAATTAATGAAAAGTGTTGACATTCATTTCCCTCTCCCCCCCCCCAAAAAAAACATAAACCTATTAATTTCAAACACACAGTCAAAATTAAATTGTAATACGGAAATTAACAATGTAATCACAATGCTGCGGAATCTATGTTGAATCTTGGTATATATATACAATTGACGTCTTCCAGATCCTCTGTAAATCAGAAATATCTCCTTCAGCATAATTTTACCAAAACCCATTAATCTTTAGCCTCGATGCTACTTGCTTTATGGTCAGTTGCCATCCAGGTCTGGGCGAATCTTCATGTACATGTACTGCTCATCCTTCGGTAGCAATTTCAGGTATGTCTGTTGAGAGAGAGAACATTCTTTCCATGTGAGATGTTCGCCTTTATCACGAATTGCTTCTTTTGATTTCAAACATGGCATTATAAGACCTAGGTTCATATACTTTGTACGATTGAAACATCAGCGCTATGACTACATAGGGTAATACACACCTATGTTCCGACACACCTATGTTCCGACACACACATGTGTTCCGACGCACACATGTGTTCCGACGCACCTATGTTCCGACACCCCTATGTTACAATGTTATGTGCGGGTTGTCGAAACATAATCATAGGGTGTCGGAACATAGGAGTGTCGGAACATAGGAACATGTCGGAACATAGTGCCGTCACCAAAGAGAAAATGTGAACTATTTAAAGCAACAACACGGCATGTCTTCTTTCTGTGTGATTAGAAATTTGAAGGAAGAAGTAGGGATACAAGTCGAAGGGTTCAGACATATCATGATCAAAATGTACGAGTTTTTATTTCATTTTAAAAGGTATAGACACACAATATTGAAGATTGTCCGGAAAGTTCCATTTCTACGATATCCAATTTTGTTTTCTAATCCAAAACACTCACGCGTTCATTTTGCTTGTCAGCCATATTTGTCAGGCGAGTCACGAGTTTCGTGAAATCAGGTCGGTTGGCCGGGTCTTCCTGCCAGCACAGCAGCATCAGGTTGTAGCTGCAAAAATTAACATTGTTGTTTTGTTTGGTTTATGATTACAACAGTATCCTGATAGCTCTGCGATTTTACAAAAATGCATATGAAGTTCAGTGGAGTGCTGTGGCCTCTTGGCCGAGGGCACTGATTCGTGGTCTGTGGGTAAAGCTGCAGGTCGTGGGTTCGAGTCCTGGCGGGGTCATGGTGCATGTGCCCTTAAGCAAGGCACTTTGTAACTCATTGCTTCTCTCCACCCAGGAGTAAATGGGTACCTATGAGGGCAGTGATGGTTATTGTGATTGAATTAGCGTCCTTGCGCCTAACAGGCAGCATCGAGCTGTATACTCCCCAGGGAGCTGAGATGGTATATGGAATGTTTAATCGGCCCAATGATTAGGGGTAATAATAATGTAAAGCGCTTTAATCTTAGTTAAAAGCGTTACATAAGAACCTGTTGTTATTATTATTATTATTATTAAAAAATAATTATGAGAAACTAACCACGTACTTGTGTAAACAGCTACACAAATACTCAACAGCGACGTATACAATTATGGTTTGTAAAACTGAGATGAAATGTTGCTGAGTGTACGCATATACACGTACACTATAGCCCCTGATCTGAATGTCTTACATTTCATCATCGCAGTTGCTTGGCTTCGGCATCCTGTATCCATTCTCCAACTTTGTCATCAGGTCCTGGGATATGATTTCTTCGTAAGGAGTGGCACCTTGGTAGGGAAGAAAACATGATGTTCCCTTAAGAGTATATAGACATATATTACGTAATAATGATAAGTCTACACATTAACATAATTAAGGCCTTTGCATTTTAGTCGAGTCGAATAACCAATGAAATAGGACGGATAAAAACATTACAGCAATTTAATAAATACATTACCCAATGTCGCAACTTCCCAAAGAAGGATTCCAAATGACCATCTAAGGGATTAAAATGGGGGAAATGCAATAATTGTTATATCCTTTTATGGTTTTCTATTCTTAGTTTGATCATAGCATTCATTCAGAAATCGGATTGTGATCCTTTTTATACTTACACGTCACTCTTGGATGTGTAGGTCTGTGAAACCAACGACTCCAGAGACAGCCAGCGAGTAGGAACCCGAGTCTGTAAAGGAGATATCAAAGAAGGATGTTAAATCCTTCTTCTTGAAACGCAGATGATGGGGGTGGTTATAGATAAGGAGGATTTAGAGAGCCATTTGCTGCCGTAGTCGTGACGTCACTCAGAGGTCAACTCGATGCAACCATGGTTACCGGTTCACGCGCACTGCAGCGGCCGACCGTTGACATTGTGTTTTGCTGTTAATAATTAGTTTTTTGCTATATGTCATTGGCTTGAATCTCCTCCGAGAAGCCAAAAAAAGCACAACTGTGGTTCTAACTGGGGAGGTGACAATTTACTGCAAAACACTTTACCCGCTTCAGGTACTAATTTGTGCAAATGTTCTTTAAAGATAATATTGCAGTCTGTGATCGTCAGTGGAATTAGTCTTATGGAATGCGTGTGAACCGTTGTCGAGGAAGTGCGCCTGATCTGGGGAGGAGGTGACGTCACACTACGGCAGCGAATGTATCCTTAAAATGCAATGATAGTAAATAAGTAACTGCTTTCCCCTTTTCCTTGAATAATACTTACCATTGACATCTGAACGTAGATATCTTCTCCACGCGACAAACCAAAGTCAGAAACCTTGGCAACCAGTTGACTGTCAAGGAGGATGTTCCTGGCCGCCAAATCACGATGGATCACCTGCAAAAAAGGAGCATGTTTCACAATAGATGATTTCGCAAAGAAACAATGCTCTCTGAACATCACTGTGACCCGCGTGTGAATGCCACACATGATTACGATTCTCTTAATACCTTAATTCCGTGTGCTCTCCGATATATTTCATAGAAAGGTTTCCTATACCGTCATTGCCTTCTCTTAAATATATATTTCAACAGACGAATTACGAACTAGCATGCAGGTTGTTGTTGTTGTTGTTTTTTTTTTATCAGGTTTTTATGACAAATAAGCAAACATCTCCATCAACGAGGACTTTGCCAGCGATACTTACTCCACATGCAGCAAGGTGTTGCATGCCTTTGGCAACATCCAAAGCAAACTGAATCAGCTTCTCAGAAGACAGAGTGGTCTGATCGTCGTCCCCCACGGATCGGGCATTTCTCAGGTGGGTGAGGAGATCACCAGTGGGCATGAATTCCAAAGCCACGTACAGAATGTCTGTTAGATTAAAAAGCAAAAGTATAGAAAATATAACAACAAAACGCTGGAAAAACCTTCTGACTGGATTGACCCGAAACATTACAATCTTCACAGTTAAAGTGCCCGGTGTTATAAGATTATAAGAGTGCCTGGTGTTCTGATTATATAGTGGGATCTTTCTTAAAGGCTTGTTGATGGAATTTGTGTATTTATTACATATTTTACCCGAGATGAAATAATTTTAGCTTTGAGGACAATCATGCTAAGGTCGACACATCAGACTCTCCGACTTTTATAGTAATACACTGAGTAAAAGTCAAGATATTTGTTGCGGTTTCAGGAAACTTTCAGGAAAAATTTAGAATTGGTCGAAGTGTAACACTGTTGGTTGTATTCGCATGATTTCACTCGTAATGAAATAATTTAGATGGACACATCATCCAGTGTTCAAAATGTATTTAAAATTACCGGTCTGAAATCTTGAAAAGCAATTCTAAACATTATCATTATCACAAGTCTACACAAAATGATTTCACAGACATGTGTTAAAATAAAGATGACAAAATGTGACAACTTTATTATTATTCATGCACCTTCATGTTGGCAAGCACCGAGAATACCGACCACGTTCGGGTGCCGTCCAATTTTGGTCAGCGTCCGGAATTCCTCCATGAAGTTCTGCCGATCAATTTCCGACGCGTTTGCTGTGAAGAAGAAATTTAGCTGAAGCATTACAAGCCTTTATTTTTTTTGTAAGGATGACAAGTGAGTTTGTAATTGTTGTTAATTTCAACAACGGTTCTATCGATGCTTTTTTACAGGTATTCAACTTACACTTCAGTGTCTTTATAGCAGCTTTGGGAACTTCTCCTCCAACCATCACCGCACCATCGCGAACTTCTCCAAAGTTTCCTTTGCCCAAGACCTTCTTGCCAACGATCATGTCCTCCCATGGAATGCTCCATTGCTGTGCCCAAGATGGTAGGCCCACATCGTCATAGGTTGGTGATGACAAATTAACACCCACTACTTCGTACAATGTTGGTTGACTTTCACCAACTCTCCCATTGGCTGGTGACGATACATCAACACCAACTACTTCGTACGATATTGGTCGTGTTGGTCCACTTTGACAAACTCTTATATCGTATGATGCCTCGGTGTCATTGTCTGGAGATATCTGATTTTCATACGTGGTCTATGTAAAAAGCATAAACATACATTTTGGATTCCAAGTATCGAAATTTATAAAGATGTTATTAAGTGGCTTGATCAAAATGGACAAATCAAAAACAATAAAAAGTTTGTAGGTATAGAAGCAAAAGCCCCGTCATAATTTATGAAACAAAATAAAATTAGAGACAGGTGTGTTCGTGTCATTGGAAAGACGTGGCTTCAGGCCAAAGGGAAACATAATTATGACGCTAAGTTTTGTGAGCAAAAATGGGTCTGTCGTGCTTTAATTAAAACGTTCAAGCTCTACTTTCCTTGAATTAAACTAACTAGCTTATTTCACGAGCATTGAGCTGATATCACTTGATTCATCTGTTCTGTTTTGAGGTTTTCTCCATATTATTTCTTGTTGATTTATGAAAAAGACGTGCGTTAAACTCCAATTGACACTGACCAATTCCTGCCCTACAACAAACTGGTTCGTTGCCACCAGCCTTCTTTTCCTTCGACGACGCTGACAATGAATACCAAGAACCACAGCCACAGCAATTGCCACAAAGGCAACGACGACAATAACAGCGATCAGAACTGTAGACAAACCGGCTTGGTTGTGTTGTGCTGAATTGGTCGCTAAGAGAGTAAGAAACAACACAATAGGACGTAAGACATGCAAAGTGCTGAAGATCCTAAAGGAGATTCGAGTAAGGCATCTTACATGTAAGAGTTACAGGAATTCGTCGAAGCGTTAGACTGTTTACTCTCTCATGGAACCACTTCTGTGTGTGCCTGGGTCATCGATAATTGTGATGTGCAACTTCAGATAGTTGAAGTTTACCGTGCTGGTAGTCTGGTACATGTTTTGCTGCAAGCCAATGTGTTCGCCCATACGGGATTCGAGTGCGAATAAAACGAATAATTCAAAACACACAAGAAACAGTATCCGGGAAAGATTTACATTAGAAGTCCTAACATGCATTACCTTTGGTAGGTATTGGTTGTGCAGATGGAGACATGGTCATTGGTTGGATCAGCTTGGTTGTTCCGGTGGATGGTGTGGTTGAAGCAGCAGCTGATGTGGTTGGTGCAGTGGATGATGTGATTGATTCAAGGGTTGATGTGGTCGGTGCAGTGGATGATGTGGTTGGTGCAGTGGATGATGTGGTTGGTGCAGTGGATGATGTGGTTGATTCAGGGGTTGATGTGGTTGATTCAGGGGTTGATGTGGTTGGTTCAGGGGTTGATGTCGTTGGTGCAGTGGATGATGTGGTTGGTGCAGTGGACGATGCGGTTGATTCAGGGGTTGATGTGGTTAATGTAGTGGATGCTGTGGTTGGTGCAGTGGATGTTGTGCTTATTTCAGGGGTTGATGTGGTTGATTCAGGGGTTGATGTGGTTGATTCAGGGGTTGGTGTTGTAGATGATCTGGTTGATATAGTGGAAGATATAGCTGATTCAGTGGTTGTCAGACCCCTAGTAGCAGTACTCCTTGGCCCTTCTCCTCCTGGCCCCTCTCTCACTGCAGCCACGCTGAACAGGTATGCAGTATTTGGTTGCAATGGTTGAACAGTGAAGCTGTACATAGTCTGATGTGGGTTTGTCACTGGCACAGTACTAGCAGCCATCCACGATATGGAGAGTGCAAGTGAATAGTGGACTTTGTACGAAACTACAGGTCCATCTCCTGTGTCCATCACGTTTCCCCAGGCCTGCCAATTGACGGTAGCTGACGTAGAAGAAACCGATACACTGGGTGGCTGACTCAGCACAGGTAATTCTAAATTTAAAAAGGAACATTCGTCGGTATGGGTCTTTTCTCGATGATGAAAACCACTGCTTTAACCATGAAGTCTCTAAGACAACAAAACTATGATTTCACTACAAAAAGCACGTTTATTTCATAGCAGGTCAGCAATTCAAATAGAGACATTGATGTTAATATTTCTCCTATTCACTTGCCAAATTTGCAACCCTACGTTTTCAGTGTACACAAGAAATGCAGAAGTACAGATAAACAGGCTAATTAGCTTTTGTCTTGACCCATCGGTATAAGGGATCAATCCCAGCCAGGACGTAGTTAACCGATACCTTAGACAATAAATTGTTTTCCAAATGTATACACCACTTAAGCGCTCACCAGGGTATCAAGCAGCTTTATCACTGATTGTTGTACTGTAACATCAGCAAAGCTCTCAGGAAACAAATAACCAGTATAGCCTATTCTCTGTTACCAAAACAGTTCTACATAAAACAGTTCTACAGGAGTCTACCTACTAGATACAATTTTGACGAAGGAGCTCTAGTAATGTCATTAAATTAATTTCTATTCTTTTTCTGGTATTACAGACTGCTGAAGAATGAGTGTCGTTATTTTATTTTATTTTTTTTTGGTCGTGTTGGAATAACATTTTGATAAATTTATGGAAATCATGTCCTACGCCACTTTGAATATTTTTCTGCGTAACCTTACCAGCTCGGTTACAAATATTTAGTAACTGACTCTAAATTCCAAGTTTAAATTACGTACCATAAAAGGCACCCACATGCAACGATACCGTCGAGCGTAACAGATTGTTATTCAGAGTACAGTAGATGATGTCACCGTGCTGTAGTCCTGGAACGGAGAACGTGTTGGTACGCACTCCATTTGCAGATGCAGTAGATGTGTAGGAGATAGGGTTGCTGCCACCCAAAGATCTAGATAGGGTGATGGAGCCGACTGGGAGAGTAAGCCCTGAGGAGCCTGCGCAGCTGAGTTCAACACTCTGGCCTGGATTGGACTTTGCTACCGCCCTGAAGCCCACAATGCCTGTCAATAATTAGAAATACAAACAGCTTCAAATTGTACTAAAAACAGGAACTAACGATGTAGGCCATCAGCCTGGGCGTTTGGTCAGTATCAAATCAGGACACAAATGATTACAGTGCGCATGCAAAAGGTATACCGCCTCTAGAGTGGTAACAAACATTTTGATGATTTTGAAAAAAAAGGGTGATGACACCCAAAAAGCTGCCAGCGCTGCAATGCTATCACATATTTTCCAACTCTGGAAGTGCATACCTTGCCAAAAATCGCTATGACGAATATTCGCCTCATTTGATACCGATGGCCAAAATTTTGGACCGAGGCTGATGGCCTAATTGGTGTCATTAATTCAGGAACTAACGAATGGTGTCACTAACTAAGAGTAGGGTATTGTCCATTAAAACAATGTTTTGAAAGTAAATTATTTTAATCGATAGAAATTCGCTGTAAAAGTACATTTTGGATTTTTCTTCTATAGGCTATCTTTACCTACTATTTTGATCAGACGTTGGGACTAAATACGTATACACATAGCAACCCCTTTTTTTAAAAAGAGAGATCATTTATTTTAGCTCTGCAGGTTAATCAAAGTAAACTCGACATTGTTTCAATTATTATTAGTTAAAAACCAAAACTGCTCACCAAACAGGCAGCTGCTCAGGCCAGAATCGGACTGAAATCCTATCGCACATTCTCCATCTGATCCACCACAGTACTGTGACGATGGGTGGCATGCTGCATTATTCAGACAATGACAGGATCTGCTGCAGTCTGCTCCATAGAAACCAGCAGAACAGGCTGAACCTTCAAAACAAACATTTAAAAAGAAATGATAAGAACCTGTTAATTAACTAATGTCTTTTGTCTTAAACCAACCTTAAGTTTGTACGTATCGAAGGAATGCCTCAAATCATTAGTAAGCCTAAAGAAAAACAACTTAAACATTAAAATCCATAGAAAACATTAAATCAACAACAATAATAAGTACATTTTACTTTTTGTTTCTAAAAAAACAGTTCTCAAATAAGAATATATGAAAGAGCAGTTTACAGTTATTTAATGTGATGACTTGAGATACCATAATGCAATTTAAACACAATTGTACGTTATTTCGTGTTTAGATTGGATTGGTTTATTGCTATTTATATACAATTGCATACAATAGAAAGTGTAGTGGTTTTCGTGCTCAAAAACATTAAAATACATTAAAAATTTATATTACAAACATTAAACTACCACATAATTAAACTAATTCCTCCTTAAAATATCTCTCTCAAAAAAAAAAAAAAGTCATTAACAAGACAATTTAAAATAGTGCATTTGACTTACTTGTGACACATACGAATCCTGTTGCACATACACCGTTTGAACCAATGCAATAACCAGTGCCCTTGTCACAGGCTGCGTTATTGTTACAATAACACTTATTCAGACAGTCAACTCCATAGTAACCAACAGGGCACACATCTGGAACTTCATTTAAAAAAAAGGAAGACCATTACTACAATTTCAATAACAAAACTCGAATTCATATCATAATAATAATAATAATAATAACAATAACCATTCTTATATAGCGCATATCATCGTGAGGTCCCTATGCGCTCTCATGAAATCAACAATTATACCAATTGAACAGATATGTTTTGACCCGGGTTTTGAATTGTTCTGAAGTTTCGGCCTGTTTGACAATATCTGGTAAGTTGTTCCATAGCTGAACTGCAGCTGATTGGAAGGAGCGGGAACCATATGACTTAGTTTTAATGACTGGGGTGACAACATAGATTTCTGGGAAGAACGCAGATTTCTAGCTGGTTTGTACTCCTGAACTAAACTTTGAAGATAAACGGGGCTATACCATGGATACATTGATACGTGATGAACCAAAACTTTTAAATCTATTCTTGCCCGTATCGGCAACCAGTGCAAATCATAGGTGTGATGGATTCACGTGTGCGAGTCCTGGTGACAAGTCTATTGTGGGTCCCTTCATGTTCTGACCTGAAGATGGGCTGTAAAGTGATGAGTGGAATAAACCAGCTACCTACGGAATGTGGTGATTTCAAATATATGTATGACGGGATCCGAGCACATGAGAAATAACATAAGTTGGCATAAATACATGTAGACAAGTTTTGCCGTTTCTTTTCATTTTCTCGTCACTTGTCCTTTTAAAATCAACTTACTTCGGCAATTCATACCAGACCAACCCTCTTGACATCCACTCGGTGTTCCTTGGCACCGCCCTGTGTAAGCATCACACTGTCCGGACTGACAGTGACAGGTCTGGGTACATCCAGCACCAAATGATCCAGCAGTACACGCTAAAACAGAAATACACATACACATGTTAGCATTACCCTTTTTTAATTTCCCCAGAATGTAGTGCACACATAGCAGAATTACCAATAGTGCACATGAATAATTACTTAAACATAATTCCGAAACCTTTTGACCTATAGTCAAGAAATTTCGTGGTTATATTGATATTAAGTTGTTCTATAAATGCACCGAGTTTCATAATTTTTTGTAACTCAATGTCCGAGATCTTACTCTAAGGGGATCCGCCGCCCCTTGCCCCCCGGCTGTGAGATGGTCAAAATAACCCGGCCCTTTAGGGTTAAGGTTCAGGAAGAGTTAGTCAAACAGACAAGTAATTTCAATAATTATACCTGACATTTCTACCATTGATGTACCGCAAAAATAAGTTCTTACCAGTATTACAGTCTCTGCCATGGTAACCTGCGATGCAGCTGTTCCCGTACGGGTCTGGAAGACCAAACTGGCTCCCTGTACAACTCTGAATCACGTTACCAGCTCCACAACGGAAACTACAAAACCAGCCAAAGCTATGCATTGGACAAGCTGTAGAAAGTAAGAACCGAGACACATTTGGGTAGATTATTTTCTCGTAAGGTAATGTCACCTTAAAAACCTAGATATATATACAATCATTGCATGATTTTTTTCCCTTTGATTTCATATGGGATTTTAACCTTTTCGTTCTGGAGCTGCAAGTGCAAATAGGTCTTCCTTGTTCACCAATTTGAAGAAGAGGCGGACGCAAGGCACACACACAACACGTTACTACTTTCCAATTGAGCTTACTATCAGTTTGGTCCAACGTCCTAGTCAGTTGATGCAGTCTTAAGTGCTGCCTCATCATCGCACGCTACTCCACTGTAGCACAGATCACACACCTAGCCCGACAGACAGACAACCAGCCCGTATAATAGACAAACAGACAGACAGTGACCATGAGCTTACCATGAATGCAGCTTGTACCAAAGAATCCTGGTGGGCAGATGCAATCTCCTGTCTCATCATCGCACACTCCTCCATTATAGCACATGTCACACACCCCACCACAGTTTGGAGGACCCCACTTGCCTGCAGCACAACCTGAGATATTTAAGTCAATCACGTGAACTAATCAGACTGAAAGTCTGCAAGTTTTACTCTGGGTTGATCTCCATGAAATGTTACGGCCATTAACGTGGCTTTAATAAAGAGAATATATACAACATTTGATATTGCTGTAATTTTTAGAAATGGATGGATTTGGGGGATTAGTAGTTATAGCAAATATTGTTACACTGACTTGTTTGACGTTTTGTGCTCGTAGATGCTGGAAAAATCAAGAAAAACGATCATGTTCTTGTAGTCTAGTTTCCTAACTCCACTTAAATTGAAATGGAGCAATTTACAGACGTCGGGGAATTGTAAGGCAAGGGACCCAGTCTAGAATTAAGGCTTGTACCCCTTCATATATGTGTGATCGATTGCAAACAAAATTCAGACTAACCATATATGGTAAATTGGGGGCGGTATTTGAAAAAAAGCCAGTTTCTTTCCAACGCTGGTCGGCCGACCAGCGTTGGAAATTGATACAAAATACCACTTTTCTTGAAATGTCAGCACACCAGGTGCCATGATTTTGCAGGATATTGCTTTAGACTGTCATTCACTAACAGTCAAGTAAGGTATTTCATAATAATTCGGTATAGTTCTGTGTTGTGATGTTTGCAAATGTTTGTATATTCCCTTTAAACAAAGAATAGGCCTAATTTGCAAATGGGACCGATGTCATGGTTCTACTTATACCATAAGCAAAGATTGTTTGCTAGCAATTACATACAATTATGTGGTGTTGCGTCAGCAAGCATATCGCTCACGAAAGAATGATGGCTTATGCGAGTGCGTATACACACACACGCGTTGCAGAGGACTGCATGTCCTTGCTTGCCAGATTAGCCTTGATTTTTTCCTAGCACTGAGCACTGAATGGTGAATTTTGCAGTATACACTTCAAAGTCATTTTAAGAGTCATTAAAATGGGCCTAGTATCAATGAGCACATAATCGTTGAGTTACTGAATGTATTGCTTACCATAATTATAAGTGGTCCCGATTAGCAGGGACGTTTCGCTTATGAAAAACAAGTATAGTTATAGCAGAGGTTTTTCTCTTATATGAAGAACAAAGACTTGAAATGGCCCAGCTTGAGAAACAAGACGTATTGTTTCACACCATTATGTCAAACATGGCCGGAATTCATCTGTTTCCTAAACAAGTCTATGGCCCAATTTCATGAAATATTAATCACTTTCAGGCACTGGCTTTAAAGCAAAGTTTCTAAAGAAAATATTGTATTTGTCACTTTATGATAATTTGTAACGGTTCTGGTAACTGTATTTAACGGTAAATTTATAAAACAATGTTATTTGGCATTTTTATCCAGTTGAAACATCCAAAATCATTTGATTGGGTTGAGCAAAACAGTGACATAGACGATCATGAAAACGCGTGTCTTTACGCATTTGATGTAAAAGATACGAAAACATAGCATTAATGTAGACCTACCTCTGACGATGAGTCTGATCATGCTGAAATGATTGTCACTGAGAGCGGTTCCAGATGCGACGACAGTGTACAGATCTCCATGAACGGTGTCAGTAGAAGGCACTGTAAAACTATACTGATTAGCGTTTGGCAAAGTATTGTTCAGGACTCCGTTCCTTGTCCGACGCCAATTAGGAGAGCCACCAGAAATTACCCGGTTAACTGAGAGAGTCACACTGTCCCCCTTGTTAACCATCTTTGTCACCAAGCCATCAGCAGGTTCAAATCTCCCTACAGAAAAGGAAAAAGAAATTCAGCGTCAAGTACAGTTTTCGGTTGGTTTGCGATCAATACGAAGAATTTTCAAATTATTGAAAAGGGAAGGGAAGAAAAACATTTAATGGCAAATATCATTTATGGTCTTGGTTTCGTGTTGTGCACGAAACAGTCTCAGTAATGCACAGTTATAAGTAAACAGTCTCCTGACGATGACTAGAGCAGGCTAGTCAAAATATTGATACCAAACACAAATTCTTTTAAAACTAAGCAGGACTGTTCATATCCGAACTAAAAACTGCAATAGCGAAACTTGATAATAAGCAGGACAATTTCTCATCAGAACTAACATCTACTGAGCGACAGTAGTTATTACCGCATGGTGTTACCGCAAACCGAAACGATACTGATACTCCACCATGCAAAGCCTAAAACCTAAAATGTACATGTATCTAAATTAATGTTAAATCAGTTTACTAAAAAGAAATGTAGTATGTTATACACACAAAGCGGCAAAAAGACTATTACCGTAAGGGCCATCAGATTTGGATTAATCTCAAACTTACGCTGTGATATTCCCTATAACATTATTTGTAACATTTGAAAAACATGCCAATTTCTTACTCAAAAATAAAGATTTAAGATCTGCACTCTTTCATGTGGGTTAAAATTCCACCTATGGAAAACTTTTTTTTTTTTAACGAAGGTACGTACATTAATGGTCAGGTGTGATGAGTAGCTCTATTAATTACTTACTGTTGATACTGTGAATGATGCTGTACATCCTCGTAGTCGAGTCTTCATACGGGATCTCACAATAAAACAACCCAGTGGCATCAACACTGGTGGTCAGATCCTGTGTGACTATCTGTCCATTCACTGATTGACTACTGCCAGTAGGGAGGGTGGTAGATGTCTGTATTGTAGATCCTGGCAGAGCTATCTGGAACGGTCTGCCAAAGCTCAGTGTGACAGAGGAATCAGAACGGAAACAGCTGATGCTGGCTGAAGACCCCGCCCCATACGGTGTGGGTGTAACCATTGGCGAGTGCGTGTGGTGCTGGCCTGATTGAAATTACAAAATGAAACAAACACTTGTCCGGAATCTGTGTCCAGCAGTTTCTACACAGTCGCCTGCATTTTGGGCCATTCTATAAATTCGGGGTCCACTTTTTCCTCTTTCTGCTACAAATGACGTGTATGATTCTAAAAGTCTGATGCGCTAAGGGAGTCATCTGCCAAGAATGATTTCGAATAGCAAACTACAGGGCGTATTGTGTGGGGCTTTTTGGGGGGAGGGGGGGGGGGGGGGGGCTGGTACCATCTTCCAACATAGGGGGCGCTCTTCAAAACTGATGCTTATATGCTAACTATGCATTATGTACCCCTGTGCCCCTTTTCAGGGCGTATTGTATGGGTTTTTGGGGCTTTGTTTTCATATTCCTCGTTTATATCAAAACTATCTATACCATTATTAGGAAATGGTTACTTCTAAGATATAGAAAGATACTTTAAGGGCATTTATTTATCTCGAAGGGGCACTTTTATGCTCGAGGCGAGGGGGCACATTTATGGCCGCAAAAGGGGCACTTGGGAAAATCTGGGGGCCCCCCCCCCCCCCCCCAGTTCCGCCACCCCTGTTGAGAATAATGCTTCTGAACACAGTTTGTGAAGAGTCTTGAAGTATTTTTTAATGTAATTTGGAAGATTTGAAAAATTCTTATTCATGTTGTTTCAACATTTGCAATGTGTGATCATCATTAACATGGTATAATTATGTTTTTAAAATGGCACCATAACAATGCATTCTTCCCTCCAGGGAATAAACGGCAGATTTGTTGAGTTCGTTTACACTGTTCACATTTTTGCCTTTTCTTCGAATTTAAACTGGGAAAGACAGGATTGGCGACTGCCAGCCCTTCCGCTTCTATGTTTTGCTTGTTCTGTTTTCCTTCTGTTGAAGTGGTGGGGTGGGGTGGTTGGGTAGTTAGTTTGTTCAATCTTGTTCAACTTACCTGTTACACTAAGCACCGCCGAAAGGATAAAGGCAATGCAAGTAATAACCTCCATGACAAAACATCCACGAACCCGGAAATCACTGGTGGTCAAATGTCCCCATCCGCACACCCGATCGACTGCGTCATTGACTGCAATGGCGACACGCACAGTTGATGAATTCTGTCACTTGTTGTCGATACAAGTTGTTGAATATCAAAACGCAATTATCAGTACCGATACCTCAGAATAACTACCTGAAACGAAGCCTGGTTGTCTCTCACATCATTTGAGCCTAACGGGAAACGCTTAGAATTTGTTAATTGGCATGATTTAAAGGAACAAAGCGAGTTTTAGCCAAGGTGCAGTGCGTACGTGCACTTGGCCTCGTGCTTACTGAAGCGTGTCTGCCGATCAAGGCTGGTGCACGAAACTTCGCCTCGGGCACACGAGACAGGAATCAGACTGTTCGAACTTTCTTTTGTGAGGACAAATCAGAATATAGGCCATGATGTGGCTGTAGTGTGAGGTATTAACATTGACACGCTTAAGTAAATATCAGTGACTGTAGAGAATGTTATTAAGGGTGCACCCAATCAAATGAATTCCGATAGTACAACAGTGATAAATGCCCATACTTGAAAATTCTTTTCAAAATACTCAAAAGTTCCACGGGTGTTCAGGCCGCAGTGCAGAGAAAAATGATGATCAACATGTTATCTTTCATGTTCATTTCAATGTTTGGAAGGTTGGGCGGTTCTACGGGGGGCTAGGGGGGCTTTAGCCCCCCCCCCCCCAAAAAAAAAAAAATTAAAAAATTGTCAAGCCCCCCCCTCCTCCCCCCCCCCCCCCCCTCCTCCCCCCCCCCCCCCCCCCCCCCCCCCCAACCTATTGATTTTCGGAGGCCTAAGTGTCCGGAAAAATAACCTGTCTACATTTCAACACGCCTCCCTGAAAAAAAATATGGATCCACCCTGCTAGCCCCCTCAAAATATTGGCTCTAGAACCGCGCCTGGGTTGACTGACGACTTTTCGAGAAATTATTACCCATAGAAGACGACCTATGAAACGAGTGGTGTTTCCCAAAGTGTGGAAGCCAAAGTGCTCTGATCATCGTAAAATAGCTATATATGCAACTAAAGGCTTGTTGGTGACTATTGTCGGTCCGATCCATCCCTTACCGGAGGTTAATTTCTCCACCCTTCGAAGATCCAGGTCCCGTGCCACAGCCCGGTGTCACGGTCTCACTTCTCCGGCGTGCTAGCTTCTCCGAAAAAGGGAAATTTCGCTTCAACGCGCATGCACAAAATTGCGCAGTGGTGTACATTTTCGTCAACTTTATTTGTGTGCTGAGTTCTTCGGGGTTGTACTGCTGCACGTAATATCTTAGGATATTTGTATGCATTGGTTACAGGGTACCAGTCGAATCCAGAATTTTCGTGGCGCGCACAACTCCCAATATGAACCAAAAAAAGACTTGAAATGCACATTTATTTAATTAAAGCCGCATGGTTGCACAAATAAAGACACAATGGACCACGAACGAGCAAGGAACACGGACCAAGGAGTTCGTTTTTCCATGAACACAACATGCATGATGCTGGGAACACAAATCAGAATGCTTGCAAGACCATGGAATGACTTGACCCACAGGAAGTGGTACATAACACATTCTTGGGTGTCCCTCATGGGCTTGGTAGACTTCAGAATACAGCCCGCGGAAAAGTAAGCACAGCGGACACATGAGCATGTAATAACGTGCTCATGTAACGTGCTCAACTGTTCGCCGAATCGACCCGGAGAAGCTAGCACGCCGGAGAAGTGAGACCGTGACACCGGCGCGCAAGCGCTTCCGCTACATAAACAAACCAGTGCATACGTACTCAGTGTGTTACCTCCCGAGTGAAAAATCAATCGAGTGGGATTCGAACCCACGACCTCCTGCTTTCTAGTTCAGACGTATTACCACTCGACCACCGAGCACGTAGGATCGGTTGGCATGGTTCAACTCTAATATACATAAAGCAGCGGGTACCGCAATCAAACTATTCATAAGATGGAATTTTGCGACGGGATGATGTAAATCAATACTAGATTTTTGCCCTTCACTTCATTTTGAAAAGAAATATACTAAACCTCGCAGGACTCGACCATGCGTCAATTGTGCAGATCACTTGTACTTACTAGATTTGAAAATCACCCACAACCCTCATTCAATTCCTTGGGTGATTCAACTCTCTTTTCATAAATCTTTTAGCTAAACCCACCTTTGCATTGTCCAAGAAATAGCAACAATGCCAAGCGATTACGAGACGAACGTCCATGATACCCGCCATTTTGTCTAGTTTCTTTTCTAGACTGTGCGCTTGGCCTGATTTTATGTAGAAGTGATGTGAAATGTTATAAGCATGACCCCCCCCCCCCAAAAAAAAGAAAAAACCAACACACACACACACAGAGCTCACTCAAATTCGTTTACGAAAGGAGCTCTTAATTTCAGAAATAAAGAAAATGCCAATAAATAAACAAAAAAGCTTAAAATGTGTCTATCCAACACTTACATTGAATTTAATTCTACAACAAAATCAAATCAACGATTGGAAAATCTCGGACTGCAGTAAAATGTGAATAAAGAGCCATATTTTGTCCGCGTTCTCGTGATCTTCTAGTATGTTATTGTGCATGTATGTGCCATCTTTAAGTGGTAATTCACTGCCATATCAAAATACTATAGAATTTAATTACTGTGACAAAATCAAGCGTAGTGCAGAGAACCATTTATTACAGTTTTACTTAAATCACAAAAACATGTTGCTAGTAATTTGTGCACGGCCATGGGCAAAAGCTTTCATTCGTTTCCGTTTGAGGGGCAGTTTGTTTTTCATCTCGAGGGGTCACATTTATAACCGCGAGAGGTGCACGTTTGTTGGACTAGGAAAATCACTTTTCCGTGATTAGAAACAAATATCATGTGGATTTTGAGGTATTTTTTTTACTTCTTGACAACCAAAATATATTGCAAAGCACTGAAAAACGAAGAAAAGTGCAAACGCTTTGAATGCAAGGGCGGATCCGGGGGGGGGGGGGCAAAGGGGGCCATGGGCCCCCCCCCCCAAAAAAAAAAACGAGACCAATTTTTTTTTTTTATGTGACATCGCAATAAAGGCAGGCAATGAGTACACCACCATCTTTTCCTCAAAAAAACATTGGTTAAAGTGGTCAGAAATTGCCTCAGATCGCACCACAGAGCATCTAGAATCCAAAAACTTTTTCGGGGCAAGGGCCCCGAACCCCACGCCCTAATTTTTTTGACCCACTTTTTGGGGGGTCCAAATTTTTTTGGCCCCCCCTAAAATTGTGTTCTGGATCCGCCCTTGTTTGAATGCGCCATTTTGATGTAAGATTAAGGCGCGTACGTGCGCAGGTATGTGTATCTTTATCATGAACAGCGCCCCCTGGTGTCCACGCCCTCATCCCCCTACCCCTGATATTCCAATTTCGAAGGCCGGGCAGTGTTTGGATTTTGGTCATCCCCTATCCCCCCAACTCGCCGACACAGAATTAGGCGACTGTATATACAGGGTGAGTAAAAAAAACAACAACACGAATCCCAAATGGCAGGACCAGTTTTTGAATGAAGTTTTGCCTGTAGCACTTTCAAAATCTAGGATATAAAAGCCTGGTCATTACTTTGAACACAACCACCGTTTTTAAAGTTCTTTCCACGGATCTCAAAAAGTGTTCTTTCAGCAAAACGAAAACAATTTTCATAGGTCATAGGGATGCATGTAAATTGTTTTCGTTTTGCTGCAGAAAGAACACGAACTTTTTTGTGATCCGTGGACAGAACTTTAAAACGGTGTTTGTGTTCAAAATGCCGCAACTTGAAAAGTACACGAGTGATTTGAATGATTCTTGTACTAAAATGAAAGCTTATTGATTGGACTTTCCTATCCTAGGTTTGAAAGTGCTACAGGTAAAACTTCCTTAAAAATTGGTCCTGCCATTTAGGATGCAGGTTTTTTTTTACTAACCCTGTTCTCGCCAGCTTAAAGTGATGATTCACTGGCATAATCTAAACTACGGAACATTATATTACAGCGAAACTTCAAGTATCATGCAAAGAACTACATGCGTTGACAGTTAGCTTAAATCACAAAACATATTGACCTGTCATGATGACCTGCCAAAGCTATGAACGAAATGTTTTCTGTCGTGTGTGTGTTTTTTTACACAGAAAGCTAAGAATTTGACGTTGAAAAGTTTGAGGAAATAGAGCCCTAATTAGGCCTAATCTGACAAGTGTTTTAGAGTTTAAACCATTGCTATGCCGTCACACTATTGTTAAAAGTGTGGATTCGGATCTACGAATCTCTTACACTGGTCACAAAGTGTGGATTCGGAACGACGAATCTTTAGTAAAGTGTGGATTCGGAATTACGAATCCACACTTTGAACATGTCGGACAATTGTTCTCTATAATGAGCATGAATAGGACCGTCTGCGTGAAAATTTGCTCTCCGAAAATTACCAATGCATCTTCACTGTCCGATTTTCCGTCGTCACTGCAAAATCTACTTTTAGTCAGAAAGAAATCGTCGTCTGAACTATCCATTTTGACGTAAAGAGCCTATACACACAAAATGACTTGGTTGTACGGGTGTGGCGAAACACATAATAAACACGCCAGGAAAAAATTTTTGCAAAAATGAGGTGAGCCGTAGCTCAGTGGATCGGAATATGAGTCAAAAGCAACCTGACGCCACTTCCGCACTTGTGTACGACGTCTATGGAGAGCCATTTCAAGTATTTCCTTACAATTTTGGAAACATTTATCAGTCCCAGATTCATGTCTAATCATCATTTTTGCAACGAATGGCCTTCATTGAGATGATATATGAAGCAAAAAGTGGCGTCAGGTTGCAGCATTCTTTCCAATACTTCTGTTGACGCAATGGTTTAAGTCGAAGAATACACTCGCAAGTGTGGATTCTTAATTTACGAATTCACCTAAATTACGAATCCACACTTTCTCGTGTATTCTCCTTAACGTATCTAGCTACTGTCCGTAGATTCCTAGATCCTCCCCCTCCTACAGTCTGATATCTGGATCCATCCGTAGACCCGCTTGATTTCGGGAATCCAAATGTTGTATTTTTGCGAGCGTCATGTCTGTACACGCTGCATCTTTCGTTAAAGAACACTGGCTTGATGTCTACGTACAAAAACATTTACGTTAATTTACTGCGATTTAAATGTACACCGAGTGGTTATACCTTCGCCACTTTTTGGGATTTGTGTAAAGCGCCTGTCATGCATTTAGATATTGAAATAATTGCAGAAACTGTCCAGTCGTATGTTCTTCGCACCGGCTTCGTTACGGGTGATGTTATTCAACTGGCAAATCATCCCATTGTGCCCGCCTCGTCGCAGATTGAAGGAGCGGCATCGAGGCTCATCCCGGCACGCCGAGCCGCACGCGATGACACCCTTGACCGAGAACTCCTTGATGACGTGACCAGTGAGGCAGTGGGAAGAGGAGCGGGCGTCGGCATAGCTTTGCAGGCAGTACATCGTGGGCACGGCAAGCGGAACGGGACTCTCACAGATGACGGACATCGGATGGCCGCAAAGAAAGTCATCCATGAGACCGTTTTTATAACGCCACAGGTTTATACAATCGTAATAACCATCTCCCTCTTTTGGTTCTCCTGGTGCCCATTTGAAGAAGTTGCATTCTCCTCCCACACCAGACTGCATCCACTTGCCTTCCTCCTCCCTGTCATTGCATCCGATCCAAAGATTACCCTCAATAACGTTCCCGGTAAACATCTCCCAGATGAACTGATGCTCATCCAAGGAGTCAGGAACCGCCAAGGCAGCGCCCATCTCCGAGCAGGCAGCATCACCCTGGTCCCACGTCATTTTCTCGGTCAGGAGTTGATAGCAAGAACCCCCGAATCTCTGCTGGCCGGGTTGGCAAGCCTCGGCGTGAAAATACGCAAACATGATCGCAGCATTCAGCCAAAGCAGCTTCATCGTGCAACCTGGATTCGTGTGTGTTAAAGTTGAACAATTGTATTTAAAGATACTTCTTTTTGTACCAAGGATATGAAACAGCCATTCGTCAGAAAGTCGCACTGCAGAAAGTCTCGGTAGAATTCGGAAATAAAAACCTCGTCAACAACGCCTGTGATATTTGAAATGGCACTGATCTGTTTTCCAGAAACTGTCGTTTCATAACGGCATCATTGCCAAGATGACTGCGCGGTTTCATTAAAATCATATTAAGACCGTGTCCAAGACTCAACTCCTATCGATCTATGGATACGTCTTTGAGTCAGTATCTGCCCACGTTATTGTAAGACCTAGACATAGCTTCTGAGCAAGCAATTTTGACGGCGTCAAGGATTCTTAGGTTTCCTTAGCAACCGTAACCACGTTGATTCGCTACTGCCATGCCCATAGACAACTCTTTGGCTATTGCGTGCCTATTAGCCATTATATAGCTAGGAACGGGTCCTATCGATCCAATTTTGCTTTACCTGATGAGTTTCGTGTTGTGGAGTGAGCACTAGCGTAAATCCGTGTCTGCGATTGAGGTGGGGGGATGGGCGATGACGAAAAAATCCTAAACATTTCCAGGCCATGGAAATTCGCCAAATTGGGGAAGGGATGGGCTGAAAACCACAAGAGGCAAAGAGGATTTTATGTCTTTTGAGTGCTGTTAAAAATCCCCCCTTATGCTTGAAAATGCACGCAGAACTACAACGCAGGTTGAAGCAATTGAGTGCCATTTCCTGAATGTAGACCATTCCCAGCACGCGATCTGTACACTCATGAATGCCCCCTTCAATGGCGAAATCACTTTGCCAGCTTTTGTTAATGGGCAATGTGCAAAAACAATACTTTCGGAATGTACTCTAGCAGCCAAAACGGTCGGATGACCTTGCCTGGCTAAACAGTGTTCTCAAGAGGTAAAGTGAAGACCAAATGCCAGTACGCGTAAATGTCGTTCGAGTGAAACAAAACGCAGCATTACCGCCGCCATGTAGATGACTTTACTGCAAATATTATCAACACGGTGATACAGGTGAAATCAACGATGGCTGAAACACCGGCAATGCAAAACAAAGCAGAATATATATATATATTTATTAACCCAGAGTGAAATTTTAAGATTGTTCACTCAAAATAATATGGTTTTTAACCTTTCTGCATACATTCCTAAGATAGTTTACCCATTATTGGTCGAGAGCCCATCAGGTGGCCGGTTTTAACGCTTGATGGAGACCGGCCGAAAAACTTTTCCGGTGCCACATGAAATATGAACTCCTATGAAATCCGGTGCCAGTACCGTTTTATTGGTTGAAAGTTCACAATCCACAATTACGCGCAATACTACCAGTGAGTCAGTATTTCATAGTCCTAACACACTACATGTACACCAGCACACCTGCGTTCTGCGTCACACACGCAGCGCGCGCCACACAAGCAGCGCGCGCCACACACGCAGCGCGCGCCCCACACGCAGCGCGCACCCCAATCTCCATATATGGAGTTGTTTATAACTACTCACGAGAGGGCCATTCCAAAGCATAGCTAGATGGATGTTCAAAAAAACATGAAAGTAACATTGTAGAGCAAAAATTTTGGAAATTTATGATTTTTGACTTGTTTTGACTTGATGACAGAAAAGTTTTGATTTATTTTTACCGAAAAGGTATTAAAAAAAAAAATGTGCTTGACCGGTAATATACACTTTGTTTCAGACCGATTGGAGTGTGCATGCTGATAATGAGAAGGCTGGGGTCATTATCAGCATCCACACTCCAACCGGTCTTAGTGTTTAAAACCGGCCAAGCACAAAATTGTATCCCCTTTTAATTATGCCAATTGCATTATGGCCTCCAAGAATACGCTAATGTGAATTTCCAGAAATAGTTAATGTTGGGAAGATAATTTTATGTCTGTACCTTTCAGTTGCCACAATTTTTATTTAGACAATTTGTTTTAATCTGTGTGTTTCTCTTCTGGTATTTTAAACCATCGCATACGTTCTCTTTCTTTGATGGGGTTAACACAATGGAAATCTCACAACATTACGGGTAAATTTTGCTGATCACTTTCACTTACACATGATTCGAAAATGGCCGACAAGTGGCGACAACCCTCCTTTATTCCCCAGTGATTCAACTCTCTTTTCCTCAATCTTTTAGGAACAGAAAGAATAACAACAATACGAAACCTACCTTTGCATTGTCCAAGAAATACCAGCAACAATTGCCAAGCACTTTGGAGACAAACGTCCGTGATTTTATTGTTTTAATAGATTCATTCTGTGCAATGTTATTTGCCTGGCCGAAAAACTAAGTTCGATATTAAAAAAAAAATACTGGATTCCTTTTGATCCAAACGAAGAATATATCATTGAGCGCTATGAAAAAACAACGTTCTTATCAGTCGCTCACGAACAGAGCTTCTCCGCTTAATCTCAAAATCAAAATCAAACCAATAACTAAGCAAATAGTTTAAATCTTGCGCTCTAACACCGACTGTGAATTTTAGTCTACGACAAAATGAACAGTATTCACGATTGGCAAAAAAACACGGAACTACAGTGAAATGTCAATAACAAGGCCTAGGCCCTATATATTCCTCATTCTCTTCTTATAATTATGTTAATGTTATAGTGCATGTATGTGCCAGCTTAAAGTGGTGATTCACTGCCGTATTTTATCATTATTGCTGTGAACATTATTGCTGTGAAAAAATCAAGTGTCGTGCAGAGAACCATTTACAATCAATTTAAACCACAAAATATGAGCTGGTAACCTGTCGTATCTAGGTACTCGCTAGAAGTATCAAGATCTTCCCCCCCCCCCACAGTCTGATCTCTGGATCCGCCCATATCTACCTGCTTGATTCAAGGACTCAAAAGTTGTTTCGTTCATCTACTGCGATTATGTACATCGAAAGGTTAGACCTACGCCATATCTTTGTGTTAAGGGGCTGTCATGCGTTCGGCATTTAGAATTCGAAATATTTGCAGCCACTGTCCAGTCGTATGTTCTTCACGTCGGCTTCGTTACGGGTGATGTTATTCAACTGGCAAATCATCTCTCCGGGGCCGCCTCGTCGCAGATTGAAGGAGCGGCATCGAGGCTTATCCCGGCACGCCGAGCCGCACGCGATGACACCCTCTGCCGAGAAATCCTCCATGACGTGACCGTTGAGGCAGTGGGATGAGGAGCGGGCGTCGGCGTAGCGTTGCAGGCAGGACATCGTGGGCACGGCAAACGGAACGGGACTTTCACAGATGACGAACAACGAATTGCCGCATTTGACGTCATCCATGAAACCGCTTAGGCGACGCCACAGGTCAATACAATCTTGAGCGAACGGCTGACCTTCTCCATCACTTGGTTGTTCCGGTGCCCAACTGAAATAGTTGCATTCTCCTCCCTCATCACCAGACCTCATCCACTTGCCTTCCTCTGCGCTGTCATTACATCCGATCCAAAGATTCCCCTTAGTAGTAACGTTACCAGTGAACATCTCCCAGATGAACTGATGTTCCTCCAAGGAGTCAGGAACCGCCAAGGCAGCGCCCATCTCTGAGCAAGCAGCATCACCTTGGTTCCAAGTCATTCTCTCCGTCAGGAGTTGATAGCAAGAACCCCCGAATCTCTGCTGGCCGGGTTGGCAAGCCTCGGCGTGAAAATACGCACACATGATCGCAGCATTCAGCCAAAGCAGCTTCATCGTGCAACCTGGATTCGTGTGTGTTAAAGTTAAACAATTTTATTTAATTAAAGATACTTCTTTTTGTAGAGAGGATATGAAACAGCTATTCGTCAGAAAGTCGCACTGCAGAAAGTCTCGGTAGAATTCGGAAACAAAAACCTCGTCAACAACGCCTGTGATATGTGAAATGGCACTGATCTGTTTTCCAGAAACTGTCGTTTCATAACGGCATCATTGCCAAGATGACTGCGCGGTTTTCATTAAAATCATATTAAGACCGTGTCCAAGACTTAGATCTATGGCTACGTCTTTTAGTCAGTATCTGCCCAAGTTGTTGTAAGACCTAGACATAGCTTCTAAACAAGCAATTTTGACGCCATCAAGGATTCTTAGGTTTCCTTAGCAACCCTCACCACGTTGATTCGCTACTGCCATGCCCATAGACAACTCTTTGGCTATTGCGTGCCTATTAGCCATTAGATAGCTAGGAAAGGGTCCTATCGATCTAATTTTGCTTTACCTGATGAGGTTTGTGTTGTGGAGTGAGCACTAGCGTAAATCCGTGTCCGCGATTGAGGTGGGGGGATGGGCGATGACAAAAAAATCCTTAACATTTCCAGGCCATGGAAATTCGCTAAAACGGGAAAGGGATGGGCTGAAAACCACAAGAAGCAAAGAGGATTTTATGTCTTTTGAGTGCTGTTAAAAATCACGCCATTGTGGTTGAAAAATGCACGCAGAACTACAACGGAGGTTGAAGCAATTGAGTGCCATTTCCTGAATGTAGACCATTCCCAGCATGCGATCTGTACACTCATGAATGTCCCCTTCAATGGCGAAATCACTGTGCCAGGTTTTGTTAATGGGCAATGTGCAAAAACAATACTTGCACTAGCAGCCAAAACGGTCGGGTGACTTGGCCTGGCTAAACAGTGTTCCCCAGAGGTAAAGTGAAGACCAAATGCCAGTACGCGTAAATGTCGTTCGAGTGAAAGAAAACGCAGCATTACCGCCGCCATGTAGATGACTTCACTGCAAATATCAACGCGGTGATACAGGTGAAATCAACGATGGCTGAAACACCGGCAATGCAAAACAAAGCAGAATATATATATTTATTAACCCAGAGTGAAACTTAAAGATTGTTCATTTCTCCATAAATTCCTAAGATAGTTTACCCAGTGGTCGAGAGCCCATCACGTGGCCGGTTTTAACGCTTGATGAAGACCATCCTAAACACTTTTCCGGTGCAACAAGAAATATGAACTCCTATGAAATCCGGTGCCAGTACCGTTTTATTGGTTAAAAGTTCACAATCCACACGTACGCGCAATACTACCAGTGAGTCAGTATTTCATAGTCCTAACACACTACATGTACACCGGCACAGCTACGTTCTGCGGCACACACGCAGCGCGCGCCCCACACGCAGCGCGCGCCCCAATCTCCATATAAGGAGTTGTTTATGAGTAGACACGAGAGGGCCATTCCTAAGCATAGCTAGATAAGTGTTTAAAGGGAAAATACAACATTTGCAAACATCAAAAAATAAAACTACCAAATCATTTTGAAATACCTTGCTGGACTGTTAGTGAATGACAGTGTAAAGCATCCTGTAAAATCATGGCACCTGGTATACTGTCATTTTCAAGAAAGGTGGTATTTTTGTATCAATTTCCAACGCTGATCAGCCGATCAGCGTTGGAAAAAACTGGCTTTTTTTCAAATACTGGCCCCAGTTGACCATCGCACTTGTTTGCAATCGATTACACACCTATGAACGGGTACAAGCCAGCTAGACTGGTTCCCTGACCTTACAATTCCCCAATATATGTAAACTGCTCTGTTTCTTCTTAAATGGAGTTAGGGAACCAGACTACAGGAAAATGATTGTTTTTATTGGTTTTTATAGCATTTTCGAACCCAAAACCTCAAAAAAGTCAGTGTAACTATATTTGCTATATATTTTCAACCCCCCAATTCCATCCATTCCTGAAAATTACAGCAAAAGCAAATGATGTATATTCCCTTTCGTGAAAAAAACATGAAAGTAACATTGTAGAGCAAAGATTTTGGAAATTTATGATTTTTGACTTGTTTTGACTTGATGACAGAAAAAATCTGATTTATTTTTACCGAAAAGGTATTTAAAAAAAAAAATATGTGCTTGACCGGTAATATACACTATGTTTCAGACCGATTGGAGTGTGGATGCTGATAATGAGAAGGCTGAGGTCATTATCGGAATCCACACTCCAACCGGTCTTAGTGTTTAAAACCGGCCAAGCACAAAATTGTATCCCCTTTTAATTATGCCAATTGCATTATGGCCTCCAAGAATACGCTAATGTGAATTTCCAGAAATAGTTGATGTCGGGAAGATAATTTTATGTCTGTACCCTTCAGTTGCCATAATTTTTTATTTAGACAATTTGTTTTAATCTGTGTGTTTCTCTTCTGGTATTTTAAACTGTCGCATACGTTCTCTTTCTTTGATGGGTTAACACAATGGAAATCTCACAACATTACGGGTAAATTTTGCTGTTCACCTTCACTTACACTTGATTCGAAAATGGCCGACAAGTGGCGACAACCCTCCTTTATTCCCCAGTGATTCAACTCTCTTTTCCTCAATGTTTTAGGAACAGAAAAAATAACAACAATACGAAACCTACCTTTGCATTGTCCAAGAAATACCAGCAACAATTGGCAAGCAATTTGGAGACAAACGTCCGTGATTTTATTGTTTTAATAGATTCATTCTGTTCATTGTTATTTGCCTGGCCGAAAAACTAAGTTCGATATTAAAAAAAAAATACTGGATTCCTTTTGATCCAACCGAAGAAGATATCATTGAGCGCTATGAAGAAACAACGTCCTTATCAGTCGCTCACGAACAGAGCGTCTCCACTTAATCTCAAAATGAAACTCAAACCAAAAACTAAGCAAATAGCTTAAAATCTTGCGCTCTAACACCGATTGTGAATTTTAGTCTACAACAAAATGAACAGTATTCACGATTGGCAAAAAAACACGGAACTACAGTGAAATGTCAATAAAAAGGCCTAGGCCTATATTGTCCTCATTCTCTTCAAATAATTATGTTAATATTATAGTGCAATAATGTGCCAGCTTAAGGTGGTGATTCACTGCCGTATTTTATCATTATTGCTGTGAACATTATTGCTGTGAAAAATCAAGTGTCGTGCAGAGAACCATTTACAATCAATTTAAACCGCAAAATATCAGCTGGTAACCTGTCGTACACATGAGCGAAAAGTATTTTTGTCGCGTGTGTCAGTTTGGTCCAGAAAAAGTATCAATTTGGACCCTGTAAAGCTTTCGGCCAAATACAGTCCGTATTCCGGGTCAATCTGACCAGGGAGTTTTAGAGTGTATCTAGATAGTCGCTAGAAGTATCAAGATCTTCCCCCTACAGTCTGATCTCTGGATCCGCCCATGCATATCTACCTGCTTGATTCAAGGAATCAAAAGTTGTTTCGTTCATCTACTGCGATTATGTACATCGAATGGTTAGACCTATGCGCCACAACTTTGTGTTAAGCGGCTGTCGAACGTTCAGCATTTAGAAATTGAAATATTTGCAGCCACTGTCCAGTCGTATGTTCTTCGCACCTGCTTCGTTACGGGTGATGTTATTCAACTGGCAAATCGTCTCTCCGGGGCCGACTCGTCGCAGATTGAAGGAGCGGCATCGAGGCTCATCCCGGCACGCCGAGCCGCACGCGATGACACCCTTGGCTGAGAACTCCTTGATGACGTGACCGATGAGGCAGTGGGATGAGGAGTGGGCGTCGGCGTAGGGTTGCAGGCAGAACATCTTGGGCGCAGCAAGCGGAGCGGGACTTTCACAGATGACGAACAACGAATTGCCGCATTTGACGTCATCCATGAGACCGCTTTGGCGACGCCACAGGTCCATACAATCTTGAGCGAACGGCTGACCTTCTCCATCACTTGGTTGTTCCGGTGCCCAACTGAAATAGTTGCATTCTCCTCCCTCATCACCAGACCTCATCCACTTGCCTTCCTCTGCGCTGTCATTACATCCGATCCAAAGATTCCCCCTAGTAACGTCACCAGTGAACATCTCCCAGATGAACTGATGCTCATCCAAGGAGTCAGGAACCGCCAAGGCAGCGCCCATCTCCGAGCAGGCAGCATCACCTTGGTTCCAAGTCATTCTCTCCGTCAGGAGTTGATAGCAAGAACCCCCAAATCTCTGCTGGCCGGGTTCACAAGCGTCAGCGTAAAACCACGCACACACGATAAAAACACTCCACCAAATCAGCTTCATCTTGCAACCTGGATTTGTATGTGCTAAAGTTGAACAATCTACCAATGTTACGAAGTTGAATGGAACATCCAATCCGCAGAAAGTCTCACTTCGAATTCACATAGTTAACGTGAAACCCTCATCGACCATCAACAATGCCTGTGATATTTGAAATGACACGCTTCTGTTTACAAGAAACAGGTTGCTTCATCCGGCAATAACCGGAGACAACTGCCATGATAAATTGGCTGCGCAGTTTTCATTACATTCTTGTTAAGTCCGTGTCAACGAAAACTGGCGCCTGGACCTATGATGTCCACTCGTAAGCATCTGCCAACACAATTGTAAGAAATAGGAAATGGCCTCTGAAAAAAAATTGAACACGCTCAAGTATTTCCTGTTTGTTATAAGAGAGGTGTGTTGCCTATACATATACTTCACAGTTTTCACAGCGACCGCAACCATTACAATATTATGAGGCTCTTTTTTTAACTTCCCGACAACCAAAAAATATTAGACAAGCACTAAAAAACGAAGAACATTTTTCAAAGCTTTAAATGCGCCATTTTGATATAAGCTTAAGGCGCATAAGCGCGCAGATTATGTTTATACTAAATTTGAAGGGTCACGGATGTGTTTTCTAAAAACTGTCGTTTCATAACGGCGCCATTGCCAAGATGGCTGCGTGGTTTTCATTAAAATCAGATTAAGGCTGGGTCCA